AAAGGTGCTTGCAATGAATCTACTGACTGTGAAGATATCACTAACTATAATATCCTTCAGACAAGAGATCGAATAGAAGAATTTTTTCCGCGCCAAGCACATATATTCTCCCATAACTTTAATAAAACTCTACCAGCTATGCATTTTGTAGACCACGGTTTTCAGATAGCACGTCTGGATAGCTGTCAAACAAAAATCAGCGATATGCAGACCAGAAGTGAAAGCATTGTTACTTGTTGGTGGAGGTAGGGGACATAGGATGATTTGTTCACATCCCAGAGCATCATCTATAGTTTAAGATCAGTAAATGTAAGACCAAACACTAGAAATCATAGTTTTTGAAACTTTTTAAAAATTGGCGGACATGGTATTTCTAATATCTCTAGTGTACAAAGGAAAGTTGAATATTAATGAATTATTTTTAATGAAATATATCTTGTTGCTTACAAACTGAATATGTAGTTCTGTACTCAAGACTATATTAAAGAAGAGTAGCAAAATATAATAAAAAATTTATACTTTCCATAAAAAAAAAAAAATTTCTGGCTGACCCAAGCGGGGAATGGAGGGCTTTGTGTACCTGAACTGAGACACGTAAGTGCTCTGGAAATTTGTTCTGGACCTCAGAGGATAAGACAGCTTCTCTCAGTGTGAGGCTCAGCCCCACATGGAGACCGGCAGGGGGCAGAGCTGGTATCTGTTGGGGACCCCAGAAGTTCATGGACCTGCCGTGACTTCTCTGTGATCCAAGGAGCAGCCTCACTGTGAATAACTCAGGGAGTTATTACTCATTAACAACTTTCTCCCCTTATGATTGGGGAGAAGAATTCCACTGCAACAAACAAACAAGCAACAAACAAACAAAAAATCAAGGTGCAGCTCCTTGGCCCAAGCTCCTCAAACACTGCTTTAGAACTTATTAGCGGGTCATAAAATCGGTTTGGTGGTTTGCAACCAGCATTATTTAAAAATGAAACAGAAAAGAGCAGAATACCAGGATGCAGTGGGTACAGTAGTGAGGGATATTATTTCATTAATCTTATTTCAGGCTTGCCCATGGGTGGGAGGGTGTTTGCGTAGACGCTGGTTCACAATGTAAAATGTCATTCTCATTTGGGGTTGCAGTCATAAAGTTTTTCTGGAAAAAACATTGTCAGCCAGGCTCGGTGGCTCAGCCTCTAATCCCAGCACTTTGAGAGGCCGAGGCGAGTGGATTGCCTGAGCCCATGGGTTCGAGACAAGCCTGGACAACTTGGCGAGACCTCATCTCTACAATAAATCAAAAATTAGTCTGGTGTGGTAGCACGTGCCTATAGTTCCAGCTACTTGTTAGGCTGAGGTGGAAGGATCGCTGGAGCCCAGCAGGTCGATGCTAGTGGCTGTGAGCGTGCCACTGCACTACAGCCTGGGTGATAGAGTGAGACTCCAACTAAAAAAAATAAATAAATAAAAAGAAAAAACACTGTCTCAGAGAACAGAGCCCAGGTATAACCAGACAACAAGGTAGCCTGTGTGCCTACGAAGTCCAGCCTCCCCGCAGCCTGGGAGGTACCGGAAGGCAGCAGAGCTTAGTCTGCGTGGATCGCTGCCCTCGGGCCACTCCATTTCTACTGATTCTTGTGTCTGAAGGAGGCAGACCAGGCTGCAGAACCATAGTTGGTATGAAACAACACTTCTCCATGGCTGCTTAGGACAGTTTTAAGGACCTGCTGCTGCTTTAATTCTATCCAGTTTGAATCTATGCATTTCCTCCCTCTCGAGGGCCACTACTCCTACACAAGAAACTATTTGAGTAGGGCCAGGAGTCTTTGGCTTCAAGACTTGCATAGGCACTCGTGTCAGAGTGGAGAGAGGAATTACAAGCCACCAAGTCAGAGAGAACAGGACAGGTGGCTCGGGTGCTGAACTTGGGCAAGTCTTCACTTCCATTTCTGGCTTGTTCCGGGAGCTGCCAGAGTGTGTTCCTCTGTGTGTGACTTCATGAGACTGGGTTCTGGGAAGGCCCTGGCCTTGTTGGCCCTGTCTAGGGCCTGTCACACCAGGCCACAGAGTGTGGTCCAGTTGTCAGGGAAGCCAGCATTCAGGGAGCCCTGCTTGGAGTTATCACTATAGAATAAACTCCTCTCCTTGGATTCCTTGTCTGTATGGACATTTATTTCTATTTCATTCCTGTCCAAAAAGAACTTGGAAGTCTGAAGTCTGTTGGCGAGTTCTGCTTCCAAAGACAGAAAGTAGGGGGAGTTCAATGACCTGAATGTTGTAAATTATAGCATTTATCCCACTCTGTGATAATAGCTTTCTGTGAGGCCATCTCCTCCAGACTGTGAGTTCCCTGAGGGTGGGGCCTGCATCACAGTCTTGGGTGTGTTCCTAGGGACTAGTGCTGTGCCTTCGTTTCTTTCTTTTTTATTTTTTTGAGTTGGAGTCTCACTCTGTCGCCCAGACTGGAGTGCAGTGGCCGCTCCCGGCCACCGCAGCCTCGACCTGCTGGGCTCCGGCGATCCTTCTGCCTCAGCCTTCCGAGTAGCCGAAACTACAGGCGTGCGCTACCACGCCCGGCTAATTTTTTGATTTATTGTAGAGATGAGGTCTCGCCTGCCCAGGCGGGTCTCGAACCCGCGGGCTCAGGCAATCCACTCACTTCAGCCTCCCAAAGGCGCGGGATTACAGGCTGAGCCTGCACCAGTCACTTGCGCTAGCACCAAAAATCCAGCGTGAACAAAATGAACCTGGCCTCACGGGCTCACTGTCTAATGAGCAAGATGCAAATTAAAGGAAAAATAATCACTTGAGCAATTATTTAATTACAACTGTGATGGGTGTTACAAAGGGAAAAGTTATGAGGGAGTCAGATCCAGATGAGGTTTCAGGGAAGGTCTCTGTAAGCAAAGGTTATTTCCATGAAGCCATGAAGGACGAATAGGAGTGAGTCAGCTGAGGTGGGTATTCTTGGTGGAGGCAACAACATGAGCAAAGACTGAGCAGGAGGGTACATGGTGTCCCTGAAGAACTGCAAGAAGTAGATGTGCCCAGGGGTGAAAGAGCACCAGGAGGCTGAGGAGACATACAGAAACTAGACCGCAAGAGATCTGTGGATCATATTACATAATTTGGTCTTTATCCCAAAAGCAATAGAAAGTCATTGAAAGGTTTGAAGTAGAAGAGAAACGTGATCAGATATGCATTGTAAGAAGGCCACTCTTGCTGGGCACTGTGGCTCATGCCTGGAATCTCAGCACTTTGGGAGGCTGAGGCAGGAGAACTACTTGAGACCAGGAGTTCAAGACCAGTCTGGGCAACACAGTGAAACCTCATCTCTGCAAAATTTTTTAAAAAATAGTCAGGTATAGTGGTATACACCTGTCGTCCCAGCTACTCAGGAGGCTGTGGCAGAAAGATAGATAGCTTAAGCCCAGGAGGTAAAGGCTGCAGTGAGCTATGATTGTGCCACTGCACTCCAGACTGGAGGGTAGCAGAGTGAGATCCTGTCTCTGACACACACACACACACACACACACACACACACACACACACTCTGGACTCTTTTAGGAAACTGCATTTGAAGAGGCCAGAGTATGTGTAAAGGACCAGTCAATAAGACCCTGTAATGATTCAGAGATCATGGGCGCTCAGACCAGGATGGTGGCTGAATATATTAGGGGCTCCAGGGGAGCATTCCAGGGATGTTTAGGAATTAACATAGCACTTCATGACAGAAGGACATGAGGATGGGAAGAAAGGTATCCAGGTCGACCTCCAGGCTTCTAGCTTGCACAGCTGGATGGCGGTGGTACCATTCATGGAGCCAGGGAACCCTGGGGCTGTGTGGCCCTTTGAGGTGCCTGGGAGCCGTCCAGGTGAGGATGCCAAGCAGGTAGCCGCTCCTCTGACATGCAAACAAGGCCATGGCATCGATATGGTCACCTGGGGGAAAGGGCCTTGCCCAAGCCTGGAGGAAATCCACTATTGAGAGATCACCTGGAGGATCATATGGGAAAGGAAACGGGTGGAGTGCCCAGATTATAGGAGGAAAACCAAGAGCGTATAGTCAAGCCGAGGGCAGGTGGTACTTCAGGAAGGAGGAGAGGTCAGGACAGCCAAATGCCTGTGAAGCTCAAGGAAGACAAGACTTGAAAAATAGCATTAAATTCCAGTTCATAAGCTACTGGTGACCTCTCAGACCCAGCGAATAGAGTGGTGGCAGCTAGCGAGAATTCGTGTGAATATGGAAACCGTCTGAAGAGGGTGTGCTCCCTCACTTCAGGGTCGCAAGAGGCACAAGTGTGTGTTACAAACATGTTCTGGAGAGGAGTGTCCGACAGTCCCTGCCATCTTACTTGTCTTGTTTTTCTCCTTTTCAACAGCCTGAATGGAAACTTGATAAAGCCAGAGGAGGCCAAAGTCTTTGAAGATGAGAAGCGGATTGTCTGTTTCTGAGAGGATATTTTCCTGTGCTTGGGGTCTCTGCCCTGGGAGTCTTCTCAAGACATAAGGGGGCCTGCTGAAGGGAGGCTTCAGGAGTCCCCTGCCTCCCTGATGCAAATCAACCTCTGGTGCAGATGCTCTGATTGGCAAACTTCCTAAGGAGCTGTTACAATTTTGCAGAAAAGGGATGTGTCTTGTGAGCTGTTGTAGTTACTGTAAATACACTCTGAAGAGACTTTATTGCAAATCTATAACTATTTTTATCTGAAGCTAGAGGAATAAGGCTTTGAGGAGGATAGAGGCCAGCCTCAGCGTCTGCCCTAAGGACCCTTGGGAGCGAGTTGGTCACTGCTGTTTTCATCGAGAGTTGAGAACTTGATGCAATACTGGTGCCAAGCTTTTTGGAAAAAAGGTGCTTGATGGATACAAAGTGTTTACCTGAAATACACTCTTCCTTCCAGTGCTTCCCCAGGTGTCAAGTTATTCCCACTTCACAGTTGCAGATACTGACTGAGGAAGGAAAAGAACTCCCCTCAGGCTCTTTAGTTTAGTCCTGGAGTCTCACTTCCTGCTGACAGAGATCAGAGTATGCCTCTTAGCTGGTCTAAGAGAAGGAATAATGCCTTTGCACGTTGGGTTTCCACTCAGGTCTTTTGTGTCGCTAGGCTGACCTCTGGAAGGCTGCATGCCTCGGGAACCGATTCCTGTCCTCTGGAAGGAAGGCTTGGCTTGCTGCTGTGGCCCTGGCGTCCACATGGAAGCTCTTCTCCCTTGGCTCTTGGGGAAGGGAAGTTTCTACCTGTCCCCTGAACAGCTGGAGGGCGACTGAACTGGAGCCAGGACTCAGGGAGTCAGCTGGGGACTCGGCTAGTGGAGCATGTTAGTCAGACACCCACTATCACGGCGGGCTTGTGGAGGACGCTCCATGGGGGGGTTGGGTGCGTGGGGGGGCAATACTACCAGACACCTTGCCCTCTTGCCAACTCATTTGTTAATAAAATACTGGAAACACTCACTGTTTCTAATGGGCGGAGCCTGGAGTTTTTTAAAGAAACTCCAGAGCTTGGTGGGCTCTGAGTGACTTGCTGTGAGGAGAGGCTGATGAAGACCAGAGGCATCACCAGGTTAACCCTCTGCCTACCAAGGCACAAGGAACGGCCAAGGCAGCATCAAGGCCTGTCCATCTGGCCTGAGTCCATCCGGGTGGCTTCTCAGAAAAAATGACTTGTGAGTTGGGTGGCTGGGGCCAGGACATGCCAGTGGGCCAAGTTCACACTCTCCCATGCTTCATCATGGCATGTCCTGCAGGCCGGGCTCCATGTGTGTTACCTTCGTTGGATGTTCACTGCCAAGTGGGCAACCTGTGCAGGGGAGGGAGGGACACCTGCCCTGCGTGTGCTGGTTATTCTCCACCCAGTGCGTCTCATTTCCGCTTACAATGGAACTCCCAGCTTGTTCCCTACTCACTCTTAGGCTTAGGGAACTTTCCAACGAGTCAGACGTGGACTGGACATTCTGAAAGCAAAACACCAAAGTATTCAACACCAAACTTCTGGCAGAATCCCAGCTTTGCATAGTAGTGAAAAGAACAGCGGTGAGTTTCATCATCATTACTGAAGAGCACACTGCCTTTAGGTGTCACCTTGCTGGACACTTGGGTCTTACTGCAAAATAAGGATCAGCCGGTCCCATGAGCCTTGGCCAGGCGTCCCGATTTCCTTTCAGCTCTTAAACTGGGAAGGAATGTTGGTGCGTTGATACTTTGGTCCACATCTGGTTGTGGCCACAGGTGTATTCCCAGTAACCAATTGTTCACTTATAGGAAAAAACCTTGCTCTAGAGCTAAAAGGCAAAAACCATGACCATTAATCCGGGCTCATGGAGAAGAGTTTTCATGATGTGGAGTTGGCTTGTAAGGAGACCAAGACTCATGCTACCGCACAGATGTGTAAAAATGTAGGCTTGCTGGGTGCAGTGGCTCAGGCCTATAATTCCAGCACTTAGAACGGCCGAGGCAGGAGGATCCCTTGAGCCCAGGAGTTCGAGACCAATCTGAGCAACATAGCAAGACTTTTGAAACTGAAAAACTAGTTGGGCATGGTGACACATGCCTGTAGTCCCAACTACTCCAGAGGCTGAGGCAGAAGGATTTCCTGAGCCCAGGAGGTCAAGGATGCAGTGAGCCGTGATCATGCCACTGCACTCCAGCCTGGATGACAGAGTGAGAGTGAGGCCTCAGAAAAAAAAAAAAATGTTCTTTTTTATCCAACCTATGTTAGTGGTGCAGTGAGTTTGGAAACAAGTGGATGTTAGCCACCCATGTAATGTGAAGCCAGCAGTGTCTCCTTTGACTTAGCATAGAACTTCCTATTCAGCCCTCCCCTGGAAGGTCCAGGCTCTGCCCATACACATGCACGTGCTACAGGTAATGACTGGCTGCAGGGAAAAATGAAGAAACCCACACGTCGGCATCTGCCTTAAGGGGGACCTGCAGGAGTCGGGTCTTCAGCGTCAGTTTTCCTTGATTTGGGAAGCTTCTGTGTGTGTGTATATGTCCTTGCTTTGCCTAAACAAACCCAGTCAAACTGAACCCATAAACACTGGGCAAATGGAAACGTCTTCCTCCTAACAACCTTGTGAAGTAGGCATTATTTCAAGAGGAAACTTACGACTAGTAATGTGGCTGTGTATCTTGTCTTATCAGTCGGGGTTTGTATAACATGAAGAGAAAAACAAGCAAAGCCCTTTGGGGAGGGGGTGGAGGCAGACGTGGAATGCTGCACCTGGCGATATCGACAGCTTCAAGTTCACTTAGTTCAGTCTCCTCTACCAGTGAGGAAACGGGTCAGAGAGCAAAAGTGACTTGCCCGAGCTCACACACTTTAGTTTCTGATACAGCAAGAAGTAGGACACAGGCTCTCTGGCTGGTTTCATTCTCCCTGTGTTCTGAAAGGGTTTGGGACCTTCAGTTCACTCTGCGACCAACCTCCTTTCTGCCAGCCCTCTAGAGCAAGCTAAGCAGAATGGAACTCTCACCCCAAGGCCACAGAGTTGGAGCCTCTTTAGTGCTCTTGGGATTTCTTTGAGAAGTCTGGCCTTTTCTCCTATAGCCATGGTGCTAAGTTACAGGACTCTGGAGTCATGTTTACGCATCTCATTGCCTGAGTGTCAGGCCAGGCGATGGGCAGGCTGTCTTGACCCTGCACAGCCAACAGAGCTCTATCAAGGGCCACAGATTCTCCATCCCCCAACCATGGAACTGGACCAAAGAAAGTGAGCAGGTGCATTCCAGAGAGCTAGAGGTTGCGTTTGAGTGATTTTCATCACAAGAGGGCAGCATGTGTCCAGTAATTAATCCATTATGTAAGAGGCCAACGTTTTCAACTGTGCACAGGGTCTGGTGACTGGCACATTGTTCCGTATAAATAAGACTCAAACCAAAGCACATTGTGTTAAAAGCAATTTTATCTTGAGCCCATTCATCCATGAGCTCAAAGACATCAGTAAGTGCAGAAAACTGGCTGAGGGCACATTAGAACAGTATTGTGGCAAGTTCTCTGGGGACTAAGGACCTGGGTTCAAGTTCCAGCACTAGCAGTAGCTATGTGACCTTGGACAGGTGACTCAGCTTTTCTAACCTGAGTTTCCCATCCATAACACAGGCTGACAAAACAGTGCTGCCCTTGTGGGATGGTTTGGTTATGAGTGAATGAATACGTGTAAAGCACTTAAAAACAGTACCCAGAGCAACTCTTCCTACAGAGTCAGATCTTCTCCCTCCAGCACAGCCTTATTGAGTACTTGGGATGCAGCAGGTGAGGAGCCCCTGCTAGGCCATCTTTCCCAGCAGGAAGAGTTCTTCCCAACATGGCCATTTTCTAACAGATAGTGAAGTTCAGCCTTCTAAGTCCAAGATCAGAAGCCATTTCCAAGCCTGAACACCTGTGGGATTGGAAGTAACCACTGAACCACTGACCATACTTGAAATCACCTCCATCCCTGGTTGGTAGAGGAGCTGCATGTCCAGGTGAACAAGTCCTATCTAGAGCAGGGATCAGAAAAGCCAGAGCCCCATGCACTTCCCTGCTGTTTCACAGATGCTGAGTATAACATCCGGCTTTCTACACTGACATCGTAGGACTGAAGTTCTTTCTTTCTCTGATGTCAGCACGTGGTTCTGTTTCTAACATTCTTTTCATTCACTTATTAACATGGACCCCACCTTCCTGTAGCAAAATTGAACAGGAGAGTTGGAGAGGAGGGGAGGGAGGGAGGGAGGGACGTCAGAACAGAACAGAGAGGGAGGGGAGGAAGTGGGCGGGTGGGTTCCTGGAACCCTGACTTCTACCCTGCATCACCACCCTCCTCTTGCTGTGTCCAAGGCCCGGCCCACGGAAGTTCCATGGAGCTAGCAGGCTTGTCAGTTGCCCACTGCTGCTTTGAGATTCCCAACTGCTGAGAAAATGCTCTTACTTGTTTCCACTTCATTTGGTCAGGAGGACCCACTGGTGGTCAACAAAACCCTTCCTCTCGAATCATTTAGTCCAGTGTTCATCAACTTTTTGGTTACGCCTCCCTAGAGAGACCTTTTAGACATTTCCCTCCAGTCCCTTTCCCAACATGAAGTTTTAATATCGCTGATAATACCGTATTTCTGTTTATGTACAACTGTGGCTCTTTGGAAGGCCACAAATCAATGAGTAAGTTCCTTTCTGTCTCCCAATAACTGATTTTTGCCTCTTGCAGAGGTGATAAAGCTCCTGGTAAAAATCCATTTTATCAAGTCAAACCCTAGATAATTCTTCTCATCCTGGCCCTCTCCAAGGACCCCTCTGTCACCCTAAAAGCTGTTTGCCTTCTACACATTATTCAACTTTTAATTCAACCAACTCTTAGTAGTCATACATTTAATATTCTCATTCCCTTTTCACTCTTTTATCTGTCATGACAGTTTTAATCTTTGCACAAAAACTTTGCTTATGTTATGTAAAAAAAAAAAAAAAAGCTGTTTGTGAAAGGGGAACAACCCTTCCTAGCAGGGACAGCTGCTGTCTGAAGCACTCTGGCCTCAGCTGCTTCAAAGACGGGTATCTGTGATGCATCCCCAATTACTGCTGCCAGGCGTTTGGGCAGAACTTGAGGCAAAGTTGCCTCTGCAGCTGCCCCACTTCCTTTTCTCACTTCCTGGTTTCCCTTCCCTCTTATCCCCTCCAAGAGACCCAGGAGTGCCCTGAATTCCTCTTCTGAGAGAGGGCCCAGGCTTCCGCCCACCCCAGGCTGCCTGTTTCTCACTTCGGCCCTCCCCAAACATCACTGCTATGGAATAAAATGCAGCTGTTTTATAGGACTACCCTTGTCAGACAGATTTTTAAAACTTTCCAATTAGATACATACATGCAGAGGAATTTCAGGTCAAATTAAGGTACCCCCTAAGTCGTCTTCTCACAATCCCAGAACCATTCCAGAA